CCAATGCGTGAATCATAACCCAACAATAATGCTTTATTTTAAATGTCATTTTTGCAATAGAAGGTTTAAATTGCTCTAGTTGCTTCTCACGAATTTGGGAAAACTGCTCATCTGGGCATCTATGCTTCCTTAAAATCCACAAACTGCAGTACAAATATCATGTAACTGTGAACAGCCATTTTGTGTAACATTCTCAGTGTGTGTGTGTGTGTGTTAGTGTTCTCCTCTCATCATGTGAGCACCTGTTTTCAGCATGACCTCAGCTCTCTGACCGCTTTCTTCAGCCTCACAGAACAACAGAGCAGCAAATCTGATCCAGCTGTTCCTCCAGCGAAACGACTGTTCTTAAAGCCACAGTCCACACATTCACTGCAGCATTTACACTCACGAGATCCAGAGTCACATTCACTGCAGCATTTACACACACTTGATCCAGAGTCACATTTACTACAGAATTTACACACACTTGATCCAGAGTCACATTCACTGCAGCATTTACACACACAAGATCCAGAGTCACATTCACTACAGAATTTACACACACTTGATCCAGAGTCACATTCACTGCAGCATTTACACACACAAGATCCAGAGTCACATTCACTACAGAATTTACACACACTTGATCCAGAGTCACATTCACTACAGCATCTACACACACTTGATCCAGAGTCACATTCACTTCAGCATTTACACACACACTTGATCCAGAGTGACATTCACTGCAGCATTTACACACACACAAGATTCAGTCACATTAACTACAGCATTTAAACATACTTGATCCAGAGTCACATTCACTACAGCATCTACACACCACTTGATCCAGAGTCACATTTCACTACAGAATTTACACACACTTGATCCAGAGTCACATTCACTGCAGCATTTACACACACAAGATCCAGAGTCACATTCACTACAGAATTTACACACACTTGATCCAGAGTCACATTCACTACAGCATCTACACACACTTGATCCAGAGTCACATTCACTACAGCATTTACACACACTTGATCCAGAGTCACATTTACAGCATTTACGCATACTTTATCCAGAGTCACATTCACTACAGCATTTAAACATACTTGATCCAGAGTCACATTCACTACAGCATCTACACACACTTGATCCAGAGTCACATTCACTACAGCATTTACACACACTTGATCCAGAGTCACATTTACAGCATTTACGCATACTTTATCCAGAGTCACATTCACTACAGCATTTAAACATACTTGATCCGGAGTCACATTCACTACAGCATTTACACACACAAGATCCAGTGTCACATTCACTGCAGCATTTACACACACTTGATCCAGAGTCACATTAACAACAGCATTTACACACACAAGATCCAGAGTCACATTCACTACAGCATTTGCATACATTAGATCCAGAGTCACATTAACTACAGCATTTACACACACACACACACACACACACACACACACACACACTAGATCGTAACATTCACTGTAGCATTTACACACAACACACACACACACACACACACACACACACACACACACACACACTAGATCCAGAGTCACATTCACTGCAGCATTTACACACACTAGATCTGGAGTCACATTTGTTTTCATTGAAAGAGCAGCGTGAAGGTTTGGAAGAATATGAGGGGGAGTGATGACAGAACAGGGGTCCATTACTTAAATAATGTAAGATAAATAAACTTTTCTTCTTTTATCCCAGCTCATTGCCAATTGCCATTTTTTGATTTAAAATTAAAACTACAGACACTAACAAACTAATAAAATTCAGAAAAACACAATAAATTACTAAAACATTAACTGTTAAAGATACCTGCTATTACTATATATATATATATATATATATATATATATTTTTTTTTTTTTTTACAGTGTATAATATATATATATATATATATATATATACAGTGTTGGGTAAGTTACTTTAAAAAAGTAATTAATTACTAGTTACTAATTACCTCTTCAACAGTGTAATTAGATTACTGTACTAATTACTCTCTCTAAAAAGTATTTAATTACTTTTACTTACTAAATACTTTCAAAATCCCATATCAATCTCAACCAGCTGAATAATACAAGGATAGACATGAATCTGTTTTAATTCTTTCAAATAAATACTATAAAATTGCATGAATTATCCTTAAACTGACCAAGGTGGAGAAAGTTACATTATAAAAACATACTTTTTAGCATCAGACAATACATTTTGATGTTAAACCCACTATTGTTTTATGTCTGATCTCATGACATTTCACACTTTTTTCATACATATTTTACAATAATTCATACGAATTTGTACGAGTGCGGTCGTACAATTTAGACACCTCATAAAATCATACGAATCGCTGTGAGATCGGATTGATCCATACACAGTATTTACCTCAATTACATCAGAAGTAACTGTAATTAAATTACAGATAAATGAAGAGTAATCCCTTACTTTACATTTTCAAGGGAAACATTACAGTAACTAACTACTTAGTAATTAGTTACACCCAACACTGTATATATAATATATATATATATATATATTGCTTCCCAAGTACATTGATCTTGTTAGAAAAAAAAAACATTAACTGAAATAAAATAAAATAAAACAAACTTGCCATGGCAACATTTCTTATTTTCATTTAAAGCGGAAGGACTAAAATTACTAAAACACATTTAACAACATTTAAAATAGAATATAAAAATAAAATATTAACAACAAACTATATATATATATATTTTACTATACTTACACTTTTATATATATATATATATATATATATATTATAAAATAAATAAAGGGATATTTCACCTAAAAATGATTTTGTGAAATTATTTTAGTAGTTTAGTTCACTGATATACTATAGGTACTAAAATGCGACAAAAATATAACTTTTTAGACTATACCTTTAAGGAAACTAATCAAACTCACACACACGCACACGCACACACACACACACACACGCGTGACAGTGAACAAATAAACACCAGCGTCACTGAGACATTGAGCAGAGATTCAGGACCTTGTCAACAGCAGAGCTTGTCCAATAAAACGCCTGAGAAACCCACGACTGCATTTATTCATTTACTCATTTAAAACAAGCTCGTTAACACTCGAAATATGCACACACACACACGTCTCAACCAAAACAACTTTAAAAAGAGCAGTTCTTCATGAGAAACACATGAAAACAACTAGCAGAATATTTCTTTACATTTGACTTACTTGAGTGACACCTTTTAGACTACAAGAATGCTCCTTGAAAACAATTTTGCAACTTAATTTTTACATTTTCTGAAGAAAAACAAGATGCGTTCCTGAGCAAAACATTCATTTTCAATAATTCAGTGGGACAATTTTTATGCAATCACATTCTATGACTACTTAAAAACATACGAGTGCATTTCGTTTGTGTATAAATGTGCATGTAATAAGAGAACACAACCCTTTACTGTGTATGTGTGTGTATTACAGGCATTATCTTCTTCTCTTTATGTATTCTCTTTCTGTGCTTTATTCTCTCCAGCTGTCTGAAGCTTTATGGATTGTTTCAAGTCTTAAAAAAAGCCTTAAATATGGAAAATATTACCAGCATCTTCCCTAAAGCTTTGAAGTCCATTCCTCCCCCTCATTCTGTCTCTCGCTCAGATATTTCCTGTATTTATTCCTGCGCTGCTCATAACTTACAGTCCGAAGAGAGTCGACACTGCTAACCTGACCCGATGCACACATTACAGGAGATCAACAGTGACGTCATGCACTGCATTAAGATTTAGAGTAGATTAGTCTTAAACTTTTGCATTGAGATCAACGTTCAACAGGAAGCGGCTCAAGCATTTCACTCGCATTTACGACAAAAAAAATGTGTGTAAAAAGTAGAGCTGAAGCTTTTAAAAGCCTTAAATGTAGTTATAAGTATCTTAAAGGAGAACTCCGGCGCAAAATGAACCTTTGGTCTAATAAAACATCCGTACCTAGTCAACCGTTCTCTGAGATTTGTTTTCATGATAATCGAATGTAAAGAGTTTTATCTCTAAAAACTGTTTAGCGTATAACGCTAGTATATGGGGGCATAGAATAAGTAAAAAGAAATCGCTAGTTAATACCACTAACAAGGCTCAAAATAGCCCCACACTACCACAGTAACATAAAGAGGGTCCATACATGCAAAACGAAGCATTCAGAACTTTGTAAGTGTACAGACCGTTTAATAAGAAGATACTTTATAAAGACAGTTCACTTCGTGTATACAGACAGGAGCCATCTTAGAAAATAGTCTCGATAAGTCGATCCCCGAATGCCGTTCATACAGTTCAGAAGTTCGATGAACTTGATACAGTTCAGCTCACGCAGCACGACATTCGTGGTTTGACTTGTTGTGACTGTTTTCCAAGATGGCTCCTGTCAGTAAGTGAACGGTTGACTAGGTGCCGATGTTTTATTAGATCAAAGGTTCATTTTGCACCAGAGTTCTCCTTTAAACGGTATAACAACAGTCTTAAAGTGCCTTATAATGCCATTTTAAAAGCTTCAAGATTAGTTCTGGAGTCTCTACAACAGCTTTACATGCCTCAAAGATCCAAAAACACTTTCATTTCCTCATAATATCCACTGCTCTTTTCTCACAGTGTCTGAAACGCTTCGTTTGAAGATTCAGTCTCTCTAAACCCCGCCTCTCTGAAAGCCACTCTGCTCTGATTGGCCAGGCGGCCCAGTGTGCTGTGATTGGTCAGAAACTAAATGCTCATTATCATATCTCACTCTCAGCTCTTGATCAAAGTGATACGAACAGTAACGATGTTGTGGGTTTTACCGTATCAATCTCATCAAAGTGGATTTGCTTTGTCAGCAGAAAACAGCGTCTCCTCGACACGAACAACACGAACCAAACTCTCCCAGTCTCAGATACACTAGTGTTTGAGGGCGGAGCTAAGAGACGCTGTTCAGCCAATCAAAACCATTGACTGGCATTATGCAAATTTGTTACAAACCTACGTAGGTTCAGCAGCAGCCAATAAGCAAAGACCAGTGGTTCTTACCATGAGCGAGTGTCTGTTGGACGGCAGCAGTCCAGCGCTGTATCCGCTCATGGCCCCGTTGTGCGAGTGTGATGGAGGGATCAATGCGTGCATGTCCGCGTGAGCGCCGGGCATCGCTGTGGACGGACCGACCGCGTGACTCCGCAACACGTGGATCGCATCGTCCAGGCGCTCCAATCTGTCCTCGATACGACTTTGCTGAGAAACAGAATGAATGCACAGATACCATTCCTTTGTACTATTGATTCATTTTCTTGCACTCTATCTAATTTCTTAGCATGCATGTGAACATTTCTGTACGGATAGAGTATATGGTTTCTGTAAAGCACATATTTGGGTCACACTTTAGTTAGCATTAGTTAACATGAACTAATAATGAACTGCACTTATACAACATTATTAATCTTTGTTCATGTTAATTTCAACATTTATAATTCTTTATTTAAATCTTGACAACATTAGTTAATGCACTGTGAACTTATATTATCAGCTGTATTTTTAATAATAATAACATTAACAAAGATGAACAAATACAGTAACAAATGTATTGTTCATGGTTAGTTCATGTTAGTTAATACATTAACTAATGTTAACTAATGAACCTTATTGTAAATGGTTCAGTAGCACTTCATTGCAGTACACGAGATCCAGGGGGCGGAGTCGGATCCAGATCTGAGGGGTGGAGTTGGGTAGGTTTAGGGGTGGGTTTAGCGATCAGGGGGTGGAGCTGGGCAGGTTTAGGGGTGGGTTTAGGGATCAGGGGGTGGAGATGGGCAGGTTTAAGGGTGGGTTTAGGGATCATGGGGTGGAGCTGGGCAGGTTTAGGGGAGGATTTATGGATCAGGGGTGGAGTTGGGCAGGTTTAGGGGTGGGTTAGGGATCAGGGGGTGGAGATGGGCAGGTTTAAGGGTGGGTTTAGGGATCAGGGGTGGAGAGGGCAGGTTTAGGGTGGGTTTAGGGATCAGGGGTGGAGATGGGCAGTTTAGGGGTGGGTTTAGGGATCAGGGGGTGGAGATGGGCAGGTTTAGGGGTGGGTTTAGGGATCAGGGGGTGGAGATGGGCAGGTTTAAGGGTTTAGTGATCAGGGGGTGGAGCTGGGTAGGTTTAGGGGTGGTTTATGGATCAGGGGGTGGAGCTGGGCAGGTTTAGGGTGGTTTTAGGATCAGGGGTGGAGCTGGGTAGGTTTAGGGGTGGGTTTAGGGATCAGTGGGTGGAGATGGGTAGGTTTAGGGGTTTTGGGATCAGTGGGTGGAGCTGGGTAGGTTTAGGGGTGGGTTTAGGGATCAGTGGGTGGAGCTGGGTAGGTTTTAGGGGTGGTTTAGGGATCAGTGGGTGGAGATGGGTAGGTTTAGGGGTGGGTTTAGGGATCAGGGGGTGGAGCTGGGCAGGTTTAATGGTGGGTTTAGGGATCAGGGGGTGGAGCTGGGCAGGTTTAATGGTGGGTTTAGGGATCAGGGGGTGGAGCTGGGCAGGTTTAGGGGTGGGTTTATGGATCAGGGGGTGGAGCTGGGCAGGTTTAAAGGAGCAATGTGTGATTTTTAGCGACATCTAGTGGTTCGGTTGCGAGTTTGCACCAGGTTTGCACTAAGGGCTCAGCCCACTGCTCACCCCTCCCTTTCGAAGAAGCTACGGTTGCTAAAACGGGACAAACATCTCGTCGGCTAAGACAGCAGAGAATAGCCAGAGTAAGCCAAGAGTGTGTAACATTGTCACTGTTTCTGTACCACAGTCCATTATAAACCACATCATGAATACTGTTTACAAAGCCATAGTCAGGTGAGGATCAAGGGTTTTAATATATAATTTAATAAAATAATATTAATCAGCTGATTGTCTCACAAACGTAACCAGCAGCACATTTCCCCACATACTGTAGCAAACCCATAATACAGCGAGGGAGCAGCTATATATTTTTTCTAACAGGGTAAATGGTTTAGCTGGCTAATATGACTGTTTACTGTGGCTGAGCTGGGACTCGTCCGCTTAGGGGTGGGTTTAGGGATCAGGGGTGGAGCTGGTAGGTTTAGGTATATGTAAGGTGGGAGAAGTTGGATGTGGATCCGACTCCTCCTCGTGTATTTCATGTTCTGCAGTGAACACCATCTCAAATTGTTACCCATATTTGATGCACAAAATACCTTCTTTTTATGCAATTGTTTTCTAATGTTTAGTATCCTAAACTAATGCAATAACTATAGTATTTCAACAAACACATCATGGCAAAGCCTGTATTATTTCCTAAAGGCTGAACAGAATTGACAGGAACAGAGTTGAATCTCTTACCAGTGAGTGCAGTGGTGGCTCGTAACTGGGAGATGAAGATCCTTGACCGTTTCTAGACCAGACGGCCGTACTGGCAGCTGGAGGAACAAGACCATCATCATCATCCTCACGGTCAACAAGCACATCGACCAACATCTCCATTCCTCAAACACATCCATCTATTCTTACAGCACTTTTTACACATGAAATGCAGCTCATAGTACAATACAAACAGAAAAATCTGAACGGTGATAATGTGATTTTAAATGTCAACACAATATCAATAATACTGATATTAATACTCAAAAGCAGATATGTCTCGACACTACTTTAAATTTTTAATTAATCAGATAAATGATAGATAAATAGATACTGTAGATGGACAGATAGATAGACAGAAGGATGGATGGATGGATGGATGGATGGATAGATAGATGGATAGATAGATAGATAGATTACATTTTTCCTAGTAAATCATTCCTCAAATACAGTATCCTCTCACTCAGTTTTCCCTGTTGATCCGACACTCACACCCGACCAATTAACTGTCGTTCACTCCAGCGGAATAAATGATTCTGTTCCTCTTTTGTTTGGTGTGTTCTCTCAGTGAGAGTGTAGATGTGAAGCTCATCAGCCGGTGGCGCGACTCTGCCTTTGATGGGTGACGACCCCAATGCTAATAACGCCTCGTTATTCTTCCCTTCTTCTTCTCTCTTTCACACGCTCGTGTTAAGATGCAAACGCGGCCGGTTCACGCCGGTAATTAGAGAGCAGCGCCGCTCATTTATTCCTTCTCTCTGACCTTCACCTGTTTGCGTTTGTGCATCCGCTCATCGCGTATATCACGGCTAATTATGTTGTGTTTTTTTTCCAAATTGTTCTTCTTTATAGAAACATGCATTTCAGACGCTTCTCTGTATTATTAAACCTCATTTCCAAATGCTAATTAGCACATAATTATAGCCACATTCATGTGCAAATAAATTTTGCATGTATCCGCGCCGCCGCCAATGAGAAAATTATTAAATTAGTTACTTAAACTTCCCTCGCATGTTTAAGTTTAAATATTAATTTGCACTTGCGCATTTAATGGTTGTCGGTCTAATAACTTTGGCACTCTGAGACATTACAATTAGGCGGCGGCCGTTTTCATGCCGACTCGAATAATGACGTGATAATCAGGCACTGAGATGAAGTGCGTTTACACAGAAAAATCTTTCTATGTTTAAAATCATATTTGACTCTAAAAATCTAAAACATTTTTTTCAAACTAAATCCTGGGTTGAGCCTTTTGGGTAAATTTCTTGGGATATTTTTTTCAGTATTTGGGTAGTTTTTGTGTAACCCAGATCCTGGGTCAGATATAACAACCCATGGGTTGACTTAAAAATATGCTATATCTATTCATAACTATATAAAATATGCTATACTGTAAAATATGATCGGAAATATGAAAACCAGTGGTTGTGTGGAGTTTAGAGATTTTAATTTAATCCGTAAACATCAATAAAAAAAGAGGCTAGTTTTATAAATGAATTATCCCAGTATGCTGGGTTAAATAAACAAGCCAATTTGCTGGGTAAAATTAACCCAACATGTGTTCTATCCTGTATTTATCTAGCCCTTGGGTTGAAAACAACCCAAATTGGGTTGTTTTTTTAACCCAGTGTTTATTACAATGTAGGTGGGAACATCCTACAGAATAGGAAAAATGCAACATACGAAAAGCTTTGAATTGCACTTTAATTATCTATAATAACCTCAGTGGCAAACCTACTAAACGCTGAAAATGTTGATCATCATAATGCGCAGTGTTTCAGATACTCTTTTTATATAATCATACTCACTATAATGTATAGTAAACAGTGTGTAATCAGGTGACTGACATCAGAGCAAACATTGTGTGTGTTTAAAAATCTGTTGAGAACACACACACACACACACACACACACACACACACACACACTCTGTTACCTGTGAGCGACGGAGGTGATCCCACAGGAGTGGACGGGTTGGATGAGAAGCTGTTATTGGTGTGGTCGGGGGAATAGATCTACAACGACAACAAACACACAGCAATGACAAACGAGAATGCCACAAACACACAGCATCATGTGCAAACTCCCTACAGGAGCGTTTGTCTGAAGTTGTGATAGTCTTTTCTCCACTATTGTGACGTTATCGTAATCCGGCTTGATTTAGTCCATGCAGAATTGACTGGTTTGCTATTGGTCGAAGCATAAAACAAGTTGTGAATGTCGTTTCATGTCGTCTTGTGTGTTGTTGTATTCATCCGGGACTATGAGACCTGTTGACTCACTGAAGCCAGGGCCTTTCCTAACGCGTCTCCCGTCTGCGAACTCGTCCCTGCTCCGCTCGACGATCGATTCGCTGAAACACAACAGAAAGGAAATAAAGACATCATCAAAGTAGTCCATGTGACATCATTGGGTTAGTTAGAATGTTTTGAAGCTTCGAAAATACATTTTGGTCCAAAAATAACAAAAACCACGACTTTATTCAGCATTGTATTGTCTTCCGGTTCTGTTGTGGAGGCCAGACTCTCTGTACAAATGAAATGTGTACGAGAGTCTGGCAGGACCAGGTTACATTTGCTTTAGTTTGAATTGTGAAAGTTACTGAATTGATTCTCACTGACATGCAACCAAATAATCCGTTAGTAATCGGCTCGGCGGCTCGATCGGACTCAAAAGCCTTCATGTAAACATCATAATCGACCTGAACGACATTTTGATCTGATTGAAAGCGGTTCATTCCTTTTCTAATCCAATCGAGAGAACATGTAAACACTTGATCGGATTGGTCGCCGAAACTGATGTAATGATGCAAAAAACGGGAATATGAGAAAACGCTGACATGCGCATTAAGTGTTTAGTCTATAGGTATGCGTGTCATGGGCATCGGAGCCATTGTATATGTGCGGGACAAGACCCACCCACTTTTTAAGACCAATGATACTGGACCCAATCATTTTTAGTCTCTAATTCAGCGCATATGTCTGTTCACTTTTCAGAGCGCCGTCAGTCAAATCCATTCCACTTGAGGAATGCCCTCGTCAATTTAACTTCATTTCTGCTGAATCATTATATTTGTCAACGAGCCACAACTGACGAAAATAACCGCCCGTTCCCTTGAAATCACATATTGCGTTGCAAACATCAATAACAGCTTTAAGTTGTCAATGCTGGTAAATAAACATTGTATCAGCGGGATAATCCACGGATAGCTGAGGATTTAATGGACAACATGAAGCGGAGTTTAGAATACATGAAATGGCATTTACTCCAATAACATTTTTCTGGGGGAGGACCCACACACTTTTTTTTTAATTATTCTGACGCTCATGGCAGGTGTGTAGTCTTTCTTTACAAATTGACCTCCACAAACTCCCTGTCTGGCCTTAAAAAAATCATGATGCAGAATTTTTTGTATAAATACAAAACTCACCCATGACACTTTCTGTCCCGTTAGTGGTTGCGGAGCAAGACGCCGTGCTGTAGTGATTCGACCCGCCGCTCCGATGGAAGCTGGACATGGGAGGAAGACTGGGGTTAATCTCAGCCGACGAGTGTGACGGGTAACTCTGCAAAACACAGAGGGAAACAGAGTTATCGAACAGATGAGGCCGAGTCATAAATGAACACTTGAACCGTTTCTCATTGTTGAACCTTACAGCACCTTTATTTTAAACTCCATCCTGGAAGCACTCGCTCACTGCAAACATGCTTTTCTGACTTAGTATTTTTGTCTTGTTTCCAGTCCAAATATCTAAAAACTCTTCACTCAAGATGAGTGAAATACCATAAGTCAGCAAAATTAAGTGAGTTTTTGCTTAAAACTAGCAAAAATAATCTTAATTCAAAAAGAAACAACATTATTTTTCTTACCCCATTAGCAGATAATTTAGCTTGTTTTAAGCAAAAACTCACTTAATTTTTATTTATTTACCCAGAAAACAAGACATAATATCTTATGGTATTTTACTACCTAAGTAAATGCATCTTGATTTAAGAGTTTTTTGATATTTGGACTGGAAACGAGACAAAAAAGCATATTTTGCAGTTTGGACACTGTTTAAAAACTCATAAGTCTGTTGAACTAATCTTAAAGGTGCATTATGTAATATTTAGGAGGATCTGTTGACAGAGATGCAATATCATATACATAACTATATTTTCAGTGGTGTATAAAGACCTTACATAATGAACCGTTATGCTTTTATTACATTAGAATGAGCCATTTCTCAAGCTACATGTTGTTCTTTGTGCAAAGAAGCAGCTAAAATCAGCGAACACTGACAAAATGATGAACAAGTAACAATAATATTTGCAATAATATTGTTTTACTGAATAATTACGTAAACATAATTTCTTACTTTATCTTTGTAAAGAAACCTCATAGCTTAATTGGCTACTCTCTGCTGTCTCAGACGACGGCATCACTTCCTGTCAGCCACTGTAGCTTCTATTGGGTGCAATTCGCAGCCTCACCACTAGATACCGCTAAAGATTACACAGTGCACCTTTAACCAGGTGAAGATGTACAAGTAAATGCGCTCACGAGTCTCTCGTGTGGGTGAAGGCCGCAGTAGCTGCTGCTCTGAGCGCTGTGTGTGGAGTTTCCCAGCATGCTGTTGTATCCTGGCTGGTTCATACTGCCGGACGAGCTCCATGGGTCTGTACTGTGATGACCATCTGAAATCATTCATAAAACACAAACACACACACACAGAGTAGATCAGAGTTGAATCATGCTTTGACTTCTGGACCTGAGAGGTCCAATAATATGGAGATTTTGTTCTGGCTGGTTTGTTTCTGCTGTAGTGAAGCACCCTTCCACAGTCAACAAGTGTTCTGAGTGTTTTAGGCTGTTGCTGTGTGGTTTCTAGGGTAATGCAAGTGTTTTAGGCAGTTGTTATATAATTGCTTGGGTGCTCTGAGTGTTTTAAGTGGTTGCTATTCAGTTTCTAGGGTGATACAAGTGTTTTAGGCAGTTGCTATACAATCGCAAGAGTTTTGAGAGTTTTAGGCTGTTGCTGTGCAGTTTTTAAGGTGATGCATGTGTTTTAGTCAGTTGTTATGCAATCACCAGGGTGTTTTGAGTGTTATAGGCTGTTGCTCTGCTGTTTCTAGGGTGATACAAGTGTTTAAGTCAGTTGCTATGCAATCGCTAGGGTGTTCTGAGTGTTTTAGGCTGTTGCTATGGTGTCTCTAGGGTGATACAAGTGTTTTAGGCAGTTGCTATGCAATCGCTAGGGTGTTCTTGGTGTTTTAGGCTGTTGCTATGTTGTTGCTAGGGTGATGCACGTGTTTTAGGCAATTGTTAAGCAATAGCTAGGGTGTTATGAGTGTTTCAGGCTGTTACTAGGGTGATGCACGTGTTTTAGGCAGTTGTTAAGCAATCGCTAGGGTGTCATGAGTGTTTAAGGCTGTTGCTAGGGTGATGCACATGTTTTAGGCAGTTGTTAAGCAATCGACAGGGTGTTATGAGTGTTTTAGGCTGTTACTAGGGTGATGCACGTGTTTTAGGCAGTTGTTAAGCAATCGCTAGGGTGTTCTGAGTGTTTTAGGCTGTTGCTATGCTGCTTCTATGGTGATACAAGAGTTTTAGTCAGTTGTTATGCAATCACCAGGGTGTTTTGAGTGTTATAGGCTGTTGCTCTGCTGTTTCTAGGGTGATACAAGTGTTTAAGTCAGTTGCTATGCAATCGCTAGGGTGTTCTGAGTGTTTTAGGCTGTTGCTATGGTGTCTCTAGGGTGATACAAGTGTTTTAGGCAATCGCTAGGGTGTTCTGAGTGTTTTAGGCTGTTGCTATGCTGTTTCTAGGGTGATACAAGTGTTTTAGTCAGTTGCTATGCAATCGCTAGGGTGTTCTGAGTGTTTTAGGCTGTTGCTATGCTGTTTCTAGGGTGATGCAAGTGTTTTAGAATGTTGCTATACAGTTGCCAGTGTTTACTGGGTGTTTTAAGACTGTTGCCATGTGGTTTTATGGGTGATACAAGTGTTTTAGGCTGTTGCTATGCAGTTGCTAGGGTATTCTGAGTGTGTTAGGCAGTTGTTCTGTGTTTACCTGGCATAAAGAAGGAGCTGGGAAAGCTGCTGCCCGGTGCTTTAGAGGACGGGTAACCCGGTGAGTCTCGGTTATAATCGGCAGTGCTGGCAGACGGGGCGTATACCTGAAACACAACACACCACACACAGTGATCAGGACGACTAAAGACACAACACACACTCTCAACATGCATTTCAATTTAGATTTTTATGCAATCAAGATCACCATTGCATGCATGAGGAAGCATTAGAAAAAAGACAGCAAAACTTCTCTTTATAATATCAAGAGAGAAACACTTTCCCAGGGACAATTTGCCTTGTTCCCAAAGTGTTGCAACAATAATTTAGTGCGAATATGAGAGGAGCAGCTGCGGCGGATCAGTGATGACATCAGCGCACAAACAGCAGAGCATTCCCGTCTGGAAAACTGTGCTATAATGACTAGCAGGAACACTGGGAACATGCCGGATGGGAATATTGTGCTGGGATAAACACACAGTGGGCGTATGAGGACAGAACGACCCTCAGATATACAGAAACAGAACATCTCCCTAAATTTACCTCAAACGACAACAAAAACATCACAGATTACTGTAGATCTTTATAACATCTCAAATGTTTCTCAGGGACACCTCTGTGACTAAATGCAGAGCAAACGATAACTTTAAGTGGTTTCTGATGATTTTTTTCTCTCTAAGGAATTGTGGGGGAAAAAAACTAAAAGAAACTCAACGGAGAGCTTGTGATGTCTCCAGAGCTCAAGAGCGAAGTTTGAGGAGTTTTATGGAGACCAAGAGACTTCAGGACAGATGGAGGACTTTCCCATGAAGCAACACACACACACACACACAAACACGTCTGTGAAAGTGATCAGACTATGACTCTGGGGGGTTCAAAAACATGGGGATTTTGTTCTGTCTGTATTTTTCTGATGTAGTGAAGCACCTGTCCATTGTTAACACACACATTCCTATGCGCTTTAAGTGTTTTATAGGCTGTTTCTACGCAGTTAGGGTGTTTTGAGTGTTTTAAGCAGTTGCTATGCAGTTAGGTAGGGTGTTACAAGTGTTTTAGGGTGTTGCTATGCAGTTTGGGTGTTTCAAGTGTTTTAGGCTGTTGCTAAGCAGGGTGTTTCGAATGTTTTAGGATGTTGCTATTAGTGCTGTAGCGGCGCGTCGATGACGTCGATAATTCGACATCAAAATTGTTCTCTTCTTTATTTATTTCTTTTTTGCATGTTCCCGGCGGTACAGCTTGCCACACACACGTGGGAGACCGAAACATTGCAGAATAGAGGACGAAGACAACTAGAAGTGAATGTTCTATCCATTAAATGAATCACACACAGTAAACAAACCCTTAAGAAAAACAATTGCAATTTAGACGCGCAAACTGGGTGCCGGTGTGGTGAGACGTACAAGCTCGGGCAGATTCGGCTTGAAGTCGTTCCCGGACGCGGCGCCGGGCGCGTTGTAACAAAAAAAAGGCACACAGCCAGCCACAGTCTTCCTGGTCTTGCGCACCCAACGGGTCATTTTTGCCGTGCGCACATTCGCGCTCGTGCGGACGTGTCGAGTATAAACCAGGCTTTAACTCCGTGTCAGCACGCGCTCTGATCAGTAGGTGAACTCAGCCTCCGACTCCGTTTCCCTCCTCAGCTGATATTAATATTTAAACATTCTCTATGATAAAAAATGTTTGTAAAAAATATTTTAATAACACGGTTTTGGCGGTTGTAGAGTTATGATGGTGTTCAAATACATAACATTAGACTAACGTTAGCCAGCTTATAGTATCTTGATTCAGTATGCTAGTATTTATTTGAGATATTGTTTTTTTATTAATTGAGCAGCAGAAAAAATATTCTTTATATTAGTCGTCCAATTAGTCATTAGATTAGTCGACTAATCGATAAAATAATCGCCCAACTAATCGTTTAGTTAATAATCGTTTACCCCAGCACTAGTTGCTATGCAGTTAGGGCGTTTCGAGTGTTTTAGGGTGTTTCGAACATTTTAGCCTGTTTCTATTCAGTTATGGCTGTTGCTATGCAGTTAGGGTATTTCGAGTGTTTTAGGCTGTTGCTATACAGATAGGGTGTTTCGAGTTTTTTGGCTGTTGCTATGCAGTTCGAGTGTTTCAAGTGTTTTAGGCTGTTTCTATTCAGTTATGGGTGTTGCTATGCAGTTAGGGTGTTTCGAGTGTCTTAGGCTGTTGCTATACAGTTAGGGTGTTTCGAGTGTTTGGGGCTGTTGCTATGCAGTTAGAGTGTTTCAAGTGTTTTAGGCTGTTTCTATTCAGTTATGGGTGTTGTTATGCAGTTAGGGTGTTTCGAGTGTCTTAGGCTGTTGCTATACAGTTAGGGTGTTTCGAGTGTTTGGGGCTGTTGCTATGCAGTTAGAGTGTTTCAAGTGTTTTAGGCTGTTTCTATTCAGTTATGGGTGTTGTTATGCAGTTAGGGTGTTTCGAGTGTTTTAAGGTGTAACTATGCAGTTAGGGTGTTTCAAGTGTTTTGGGCTGTTGCTATGCAGTTAGAGAGTTTCAAGTGTTTTAGCCTGTTTCTATTCAGTTTTGGGTGTTGTTATGCAGTTAGGGTATTTCGAGTGTTTTAGGCTGTTGCTATACAGTTAGGGTGTTTCGAGTGTTTTGGGCTGTTGCTATGCAGTTAGACTGTTTCAAGTGTTTTAGGCTGTTTCTATTCAGTTATGGGTGTTGCTATGCAGTTAGGGTTTTTCAAGTGTTTTAAGGTGTTGCTATGCAGTTAGGGTGTTTCGAGTGTTTTTGGCTGTTGCTATGCAGTTAGAGAATTTCAAGTGTTTTAGCCTGTTTCTATTCAGTTATTGGTGTTGCTATGCAGTTAGGGTGTTTCGAGTGTTTTAGGCTGTTGCTATGCAGTTAGGGTGTTTCGAGTTTTTTGGGCTGTTGCTATGCAGTTAGGTTTTTTTGAGTGTTTTAGGCTGTTGCTATGCATTTAGGGTGTTTCAACTGTTTTAGGGTGTTTCTATTCAGTTATGGGTGTTGCTATGCAGTTAGGGTATTTCAAGTGTTTTAGGCTGTTTCTATGCAGTTAGGTTGTTTCGAGTGTTTTCTGCTGTTGCTATGTAGTTAGGGTGTTTCGATTGTTTAAGGATGTTGCTATGCAGTTAGAGTGTTTCAAGTGTTTTAGGGTATTGCAATGCAGTTAGTGTGTTTCAAGTGTTTTAGGCTGTTGCTATGCAGTTAGGGTGTTTCGAGTTTTTTGGGCTGTTGCTATGCAGTTAGAGTGTTTCAAGTGTTTTAGGCTGTTTCTATTTTGGGTGTTGCTATGCAGTTAGGGTGTTTCGAGTGTTTTAGGGTGTTGCTAAGCAGTTAGGTTTTTTTGAGTGTTTTAGGCTGTTGCTATGCATTTAGGGTGTTTCAACTGTTTTAGGGTGTTTCTATTCAGTTATGGGTGTTGCTATGCAGTTAGGGTATTTCAAGTGTTTTAGGCTGTTTCTATGCAGTTAGGTTGTTTCGAGTGTTTTCTGCTGTTGCTATGTAGTTAGGGTGTTTCGATTGTTTAAGGATGTTGCTATGCAGTTAGAGTGTTTCAAGTGTTTTAGGGTATTGCAATGCAGTTAGTGTGTTTCGAGTGTTTTAGGCTGTTGCTATGCAGTTAGGGTGTTTCGAGTTTTTTGGGCTGTTGCTATGCAGTTAGAGTGTTTCAAGTGTTTTAGGCTGTATCTATTTTGGGTGTTGCTATGCAGTTAGGGTGTTTTGAGTGTTTTAGGGTGTTGCTAAGCAGTTAGGGTTTTTCGAGTGTTTTAGGCTGTTGCTATGCATTTAGGGTGTTTCAAGTGTTTTAGGGTGTTTCTATTCAGTTATGGGTGTTGCTATGCAGTTAGGGTATTTCAAGTGTTTTAGGGTGGTGCTATGCAGTTAGGGGTTTTCAAGTGTTTTAGGCTGTTTCTATGCAGTTAGGTTGTTTTGAGTGTTTTCTGCTGTTGCTATGTAGTTAGGGTGTTTCGATTGTTTAAGGATGTTGCTATGCAGTTAGGGTGTTTCGAGTGTTTTAGGGTATTGCAATGCAGTTAGTGTGTTTCGAGTGTTTTAGGATGTTGCTATGCAGTTAGGGTTTTTCGAGTGTTTAAGGATGTTGCTGTGCAGTTAGGGTGTTTTGAGTGTTTTAGGCTGTTGCTAAGCAGTTAAAATAATAATAATAATAATAAAACTTTATTTTATATAGTGCCTTTAAAAGTAGTATCTCAAAGCACTTTACATAAAAAATAATGTTTTTTAATAATAAGTTAGGGTGTTTTGAGTGTTTTAGGCACTCAAAACACTCAAAAGCAGTTGTTAATGAGTTCAGGGTTAGATTTTTTGGTCCAGCAGGTGAAATCAGAGCATCTTTGAGTAGCCGCACACCTCTGCTCAACAACACATATGATTTGAGGAATCATTACTTCTGGAGAACAAATGCCGCAGGAGTGAGTCTGTTTACTGCTGCAGATCAGGAGCAGATGGAATGAAACAAGAGCAGTCACGAAAGCCACAACACACACACACACACACAGTCTCTCCCTCTACACCTTATCAGTGTGACTCCCTTGCTGCACCTGTGTTGAACTGACCTACAACACATAAACATGCAATAATCATACATTTTCATGAAACTACACTTTTGAGACAGACACTTAATAAACTAGCAAACTAACATTTGTTATTTTTTGAGGAAGGAAGTTCCAACTTCCGCCCCTCACTTTGGACTTTATTCCATCCACCTGCAACTGCCATAATGCTGTACAGATGTAGAACAATATCAAGAGCTCCAACACACACACACACACACACACTGGGGTCTGGCTTTACCATCAAATACTAATCTATTCCACATGAACCACAGCGAGAGAGAGCACACACACACACACACACACACACACACACACTCCCTGAGGAGAAGCGGCTTCCTGTGGCTTGATTAGGGAGAACCGTGCAAAGACAAGTGCCTCCCAAAACAGCACCTGTGACTGTATGTATGTGTGTGTGTGTGTGTGTGTTTCAGGTCAGATGTCAATACAGCCAGGAAACACTTGCACACAACTAATAGAGAGAGCGAGACACACATGAACAGACACACACACACAGATCATCTTCATTTGATTTCTGA